AAAATGAGCAAACAACAAGAACAACCAAAAAAGAACCTAACCATAGAATGTTACTATGCTAACACAAAACTCAGAAGACAACAAAGTCAAAACAGCTACATCCAAAGCCTAAAAAAAAAAAAAGTGAATTGGTCTCAGGCCCCCCGAAAAAGAATTTTTGGAGGAGCTCAAAAAGGATTTTAAAAATCAAATAAGAGAAGTAGAGGAAAAATTGGGAAATTAAATGAGAGTAATACAAGAAACTCATTGGGGGGAAAAGGAGTCAACAGCTTGGTAAAGGGGGCACAAAAAAATACTGAAGAAAGTAACACCTTAAAAAAAAACAGAATAGGCCAGATATTAAAAGAAGACACAAAAATCTACTGAAGAGAACTCCCTAAAAAGCAGAAATGGCCAAATGGAAAAAGATGTACGCTGAAGAAAAGAACTCCTTAAGAATTAGAATTGGCCAAATGGAAAAGGAAGTCCAAAAGCTCACTGAAGAAAATAATTATTTTTTATTATTATTATTTTTTAATTTTTAATATTATTAATTTATTTTGATTTATCAACAATCACTTCCATATGCTTTTGAGTTTAAAATTTTTCTCCCCCTTCCCCCCCCTCCCCAAGATGGCACACAATCCGATATAGGCTTTACAATTACATTCCTATTAAAACATTTTCACATTAGTGAAGTTGTAAGTAAAAATTAAAACCAATAGGAGGCACCATCAGAAAGATGAAACGAAACTCAACAAAAGGTAAAAATAAGTGATAGCGATTCGACTTCATAGTTCTTTCTTTGGATGTGGGCAGCATTTTCCATCCCAATGCCTCTGGAGATGTCTTAGATCCTTGTAATGCTGAGAAGGGTTCAATTTAACAATATTAGTCATCACATAACATGGCTGTTGTTGTGTACAAAGTCCTCTTGGTTCTGCTCACTTCACTCAGCATCAGACCATACAAGTCTTTCCAGGTTTTTCTGAAGTCAGCCTGTTCATCATTTCTTACAGCACAATAGTATTCTGTTACATTCATATACCGCAACTTGCTCAGCCATTCCCCAATTGATGGGCATGCTCTCAATTCCCAGTTCTTTGCCACCACAAAAAGAGCTGCTATGAATATTTTTGTACATGTGGGTCCTTTCCCTGTTTGTTTGATCTCTTTGGGATATAGCCCTAGGAGTGCTATTGCTGGATCAAAGGGTGTGCACATTTTTTGCAGCCCCTTTGGGCATAGTTCCAAATTTTTCTCCAAAATGGTTGGATCATTTCACAACTCCACCAAACAGTGTATTAGTGTTCCAATTTTCCCACATCTTCTCCAGCATTTATCGTTTTCCTGTTTTGCCATGTTGGCCAATCTGATAGGTGTGATGTGGTACCTCAGAGTTGTTTTGATTTGTATTTCTCTAATCAATAACAATTTAGAGCATTTTTTCATATGACTACAGATGGCTTTAATTTGAAGAAAATAATTCTTTAAAAATTAGAATTGGGCAAGTGGAAGGTGACTGCATGAGACATCAAGAAACAATAAAACAAAATCAAAAGAATGGAAAAAATAGAAAACAATGTGAACTATCTCATTGGAAAAGCTCACCTGGAAAATAGTCCAAGGAGAAATAATTTAAGAATTATTGGACTACCTGGGAAAAAAAGAGATTAGCAGTCATTTTTCAAGAAAGGGAACTGCCCTGATATTCTAGAACCAGAGGATAAAATAGAAATTAAAGAGTCCACCGATCACCTCCTGAAAGAGATCCCCAAATGAAAATTCCCAGGAATATTATAGCCAAATTCCAGAACTTCCAAGTCAAGGAGAAAAAATTGTAAGCTGCCAGAAAGAAACATTTCAGGTATCATGGAGCTACAGTCACAATCACACAAGATTTAACACCGTCTACATTAAAGGATCAGAGGGATTGAAATGTGATAGTCTGAAGGGCAAAGGAACTAGAATTACAACCTAGAATCACCTACCCAGCAAAACTAAGTAAAGTCCTTCAAGGGAAAAAAATGGGTGTTCAATGAAAAGCTGTGGTCTGCAGACCAGAGCTGAATAGAAAATTTGACTTTCGAATACAAGATCCAAGAGAAGTATAAAAAGCTCATCAGAAAAGAGAAACCATAAGGGATTCAGTAAGGTAAACTGCTTACCTTACTACACACTAAGATGATATTTATAACTTAACTCCTAAGACCTTTCTCATTATTAGTGAAGTTAGAAGACATAAGCATGGACAGAGGGTACTGGTGTGAGTTGAATATGATAGGATGATGTCTATAAAAACAAAATGAAGGGATGAAAGAGGTATGCAGTGGAAGAAGGGGTGGGGAACAGGGGTAGAATGGAGTAAATTATGTGACAAAAGAGGGGGAAACAAGCTTTTACAGTGGAGGGGACAGTGAGAGAGTGCTTAGAACCTTACCCTCATCAGAAATGGCTCAGAGAAGGAGTAACATCCGAACTCAGTTGGTATAGAAATCCATCTTGCCCTACAGGAAAGTAGTCGGGGGGAACAGGGATAATAGAAGGTGGGTGAAGGGGCAGCTAGGTGGCACAGTGGATAGAGCGCCAGCCCTGAAGTCAGGAGGATCTGAGGTCAAATCTGGCCTCAGACCAAACCCTTGATACTTACTAGCTGTGTGACCGTGGGAAAGTCACTTAACCCCAATTGAGAGAAAGAGAGTGAGTGTGAGTGTGGGGAGGGCGGGGCTGAAAGAAGAGGAGGGATAGGGTGAGGCAGTAGTCAAAAGCAAAACACTTTTGAGGATGAACAAGAGAGAGAGAGAGAGAGAAGGATAAATGGGGGGGGGATACAATGGAGGGAAATACACAGTAATCACAACTTTAAAAAAAAAAAGTTTCACAGGCAAGGCCTCATTTCCCAAATATATAGAAAACTTGAGTCAAATTTATAAGAATTCAAGTCATTCCCCAATTGATAAATGGTCAAAGGACATGAACAGTTTTTAGATGAAATAATCAAAGCTATCTGTAGTCATTATTAGAGATATTAATGTTCTAAATCATTATTGATTAGAGAGCAAATTAAAACAGTTCTGAGGTACTACCCCACAGGAAAGTGACAGATGTTGGAGGGGATATGGGAAAACTGAGATGCTTATATTGGTGATGTTGTGAACTGATTCAACCATTCTGGAGAGCAATTCAGAACTATTTTTCCTAAGGGCTATAAAATGGTGCATACCCTTCGACCCAGCAATACTGCTACTAGATCTGTATCCAAAAGAGGTAAACAAACAAAAAAAAAAGGAAAATGACCTATATGTACCAAAATACTTGTAACAGCTCCTTTTAGTGGTGGCAAAGTATTAAAAATTGAGGGGAATGCCCATCAATTGGGGAATGGTTAAACAAGTTGTGATACATGATTGTGATGGAATACTGTTGTACTGTAAGAAATGATGAGCAAGATGTTCTCAGAAAAACCTGGAAAGACTTACATGAACTGATACAAAGTGAAATGAAGAGAATCATGAGAACATTGTATACAGTAACAGCAATAATGTATGATTATCCCCTGTAAATGACTTATTCTCAGCATTACAGTTATTCAAGACAGTTCTGAAGGACTTACAAAAAATGCTATCCGTTCCAGAGAAAGAAATGATGGAGTCTAAATGCAGATTGAAGCATACTTTTTTTACTTTCTTTTTTTTCCTTTGTTTTGTGGGTTTGTGTTTTCTTTCACAACATGACTAGTACCGAAATAATGTTTTTCTTGACTGCAAATATGTAACCTATATTAGATTGCTTGCCTTCTCAAGGACGGGAGAAAGAAGAGAGGGTGGAACTCATTTTTTTTATTGTTTTTACATATATTTGAAAAAAAATTTTTAAATATTAAATAGAAAATTAATCTGGTAATGGAGTACAAAGTAGACTAGAGGGGTGCATGATTGGATTTGTAATGGGTGTATTAAATCCAAGTTTTTTTGATTTTGTAAATTAACTTAAGTCCATTATTTCTGTCTTCCTGTCTTCCCCATCTGTGTTTTTTTTCTCCCTTCTTATTCCTTTTCTCCCTTTTTCTTTTCCCCCTTTTCCTCCATCCCCTTCCATTTCTCACATTCCCTTTTCCTTCTATCTCCTCTTCCCTCTTCCCTCCTTCCTTACATCTCTTCTCCCTGTTTGTTCTTCCTCCTTCTATAGTTTTCCTTCTTCACCAGTCACCCCACACACACACACACCCCGTGTCCCCATGCATCTCATCTATTCTTCCTGCTTTGCTTGCTGTACTTCTTAGCACTTCAACAACATAGGTTAGCAGGAGTGCAAATTTAAACTCACAGGATCATGGATTTAGATTTTGAAGGGAACGTAGAGGCTGTCAGGTCTAACCCCCTTGTTTTTCAGATGAGGAAATTGAGGTACAGAAAGGTTAAGCTACCCAGAATCACACAACTAGTAAGAATCTACAGTGAAATTTAAATCCATTTCCTGATTTGAAGTCCAGTGTCCTCTCCAGTATGCCGTGATGCTTCTAGGTTATTATATCTGTCATAACAGCATTCTCAAGCTAGATAGGTAGTTTTTCTAGACTTTGTATAGGAAATACTCATTTTTTTACTTTTTTTTCTCCATATAACATTTTTGTTGGTGGTTAATGATTTGGAGTCAAAAGACAGATTCAAATCCTTCAACAAAAATGCTTTTGGGCAGGACGCTTAGTATCTAGAACTCAGTTTCCTCATGTAAAAAAGAAAGGTTGAATTAAATTATCTCTAAAATCCCTTACAACTCTACAATTTCTGGGTTTTTTAAAAAATGTATTAATTAGATTATATATTCCTTTAAAATTGGAATGTGCCTTGTACATCTTTGTATCACTCACAGCATCATATGAGCTGCCTTGCTCTTAATAAATATTGATGTATTCATTTTTAAAATCTATTCATAGAACTGTAGATCCCACCAGCTACTTACTTCTCATGAATGAAACTACTTATATTCTAATGGTTGACCCTATTCTTCCTTAACTTTAGTGATTTAGAATCTAGAAGAGAAGTTAAAAAAGAAGAAGGTGAAGCTTTTGCCAGAGAACATGGACTTATCTTTATGGAAACTTCTGCTAAGACTGCTTCCAATGTAGAAGAGGTAGGTGGGCTGTCCTTTTTTTGTAATGGAAATATGTGTAATATCCTTTGACATTTCTTCTTTCATACTTTTGTCATAATGCAGGGGCTTTAACTGTTTTAAATTAGGTATGATTTCCTGAATCTGTCTTTTGACACTTAACTTTTTAAAAATCTTTTTATAAAAAGTAAAATGAGAGTCTGAGAACAAAACTCTAAATTTGTGTTCCTGTGCTTGCAGCAATTCCAGATGCTTTAAGAGATCTAGAATTATATAATTTTTAGATTTGAGAGGGACCTTAGAAATAATCTAGTCAAACCACTTTATGCTACTATCCTGTTTTTTTTTAAATATATATTTATTTTTAGCAGATCTCCTTTCAGTTATAATTTCATGGATTAAAAGAAACTAATGAATGGAATTTTGATAAGATACATTTTTAACTCCCCCCCCTTTAAGGATTTTTATTTATTTATTTATTTTTAGTCAGGCAATTGAGGTTAAGTGACTGGCCCAGAGTCACACAGCTAGTGAATGTTATGTGTCTGAGAACTGGATTTGAACTCAGGTCCTCCTGACTTCAGGGCTGGTGCTCTATCCACTGCACCATGTAGCTGCCCCCCCAAAAAATTTTAATCATTAAATTTTTTTTGCTGCATAATCACAGCATGAATCCTCAAGTATAGTAAATCCAAGGTAGAATTGTTGTTGGTGTTACACTTCCATTTAAAAAACCCTGATATTATATTGTTAAAGTATATCTAATGTGTTTATAAGGTTCTATCCTTATTCTCAGTGAGGAAAGAATGTTAGCCTGTGCTCTGTGGCATAAGCTCATGATAAAATATTGGTGTTATTCATATTTATAGAATATTCTTATACACGAAGAGAGGCAAGATGGTCTTGTGGACAGAGAATGCTGGCCTAGTGATCACAAAATCTTTGGTTTAAGTCTTGTCTTACATACCTACTTGACCCTGGGCAAGTCTCTTGGTGTGTCCAGGCAACTCTATAAGACTTGAAGTTTCAGACAAGCTACTGGTCTGCATCAGTGAAAAAAGATTCTAGTTCACAACTTCCTATAGCAATGAAATCACAGGTCCAGGTCAGAGGACTTCAGCATTAAACACCACTTTGCACAAAAATCATCTACGCAAGAGGTTATTTTACTCTTTCCTTTTTTTTTTCTTTCCTATATATAACTTTTCTAGCAGTTTGGGCAGAGCATCTCAGTGATATATAGTCATCTGTCAATCAATACATAGATATCACATCTATACATACATACATGTATTTCCTTGTGACTCTTTATTTGAATATGTCAGGTTTGATATGATAGACATCCTGCTATAAATTGATACGCTGAGACCTCTATAATATATCAGTTCAGCTGAGAGATGTTAAGCTCTCCTTTGATTAAATAGAGAAAAAGGCATGTGAGAACTAGCTAGCTTATATAGTAAAAACAGTTCTGATATATTAGGGATCTGGACAGATGAAGGCTAAATAAATGAAATCACTGTTGTCTAAATCTGCATTGTCATTCCAAAGTTGTTTGCATTGGTCAGACACATAACATGCCCATTGTGTTCATTTTTTTTTAAACTAGAATCTAAGCCAGAAGTTCATTTAAAAAAAAGTATAGCTAGCTATATAGTAGCTGCTCCTGTCAGTAAAATCTGGGAGGTCCAGTCACATAACAGAGAGGTCCTAGAAATATGTTATAATAATTTTAAAAACAATCTTTGATTTGGTGGTTTAAGCATCTCCTTTGACACATAATCAAAATCGCTTTAAATAGTTGTTTACAACTTGTTTCGTAACTTCATCATTTGGTTACCAGCTTTCTAGTAATGAGCCTCAGAATTTTTAGCTCAGCTCAGCCAATCCTTAGACAGTAACCTCTCACTGGCCCTTACTTGAAGCTGTCTATGCCAGCTTGGTCTAAGAACTTGTACTCTACTAGCAGAGCCTTCAGAACTTGGTATCATTTCCATAGCAGAATGACACACCAGTTCCCGATAAAATTTTATTATATTTAGAACTGACCATTTAGAGTTTTGTCTTTGTGTTTTCACTCATGAGAGTAATTCTTTATTCTTTTATTTCTGTTTTGTATAACACACTTGTGAAAATTTGCTCTACAAAGTAATTTATCATACAAAATCATGAGAGGGTAATGTTTGAAGTATTTTTTTTTAAACTTTGACTCTCATAGTACTTACGATTGTTAAAAAATAAAGCTTGCACATAAATACATTTATAAATTTTTACAAACAATCAGTATGTGGAAATAATTTTGCCCAAAAGGAAACTTGAAGACTAGTTTTTAAGGAGACACTATTGAATACTTAGATTAATTTGAGGAAGATGTAAAATGAAAACATGAGTAGCTTAAATTTGTTGCAAAACTTTTACTAATATAATTTGACATCTATTCTTGACCAGCACTGTCAACCATAGACTCATAAGTTTAGATAAGATTGTTTCATGATCCAGAAAAAAATAGTGCAACCATCCTGAACCTACTTCAGTATTTGAAAAAGTTGGTTAAACATGAACAGAAAGAATATCAAAGCACAGTCCCACAAAGTGCTATCATGAATTAATGCACTAAACAAAAATTACTTTGAAAAAAAATGAAGCAATCTAGATGTAACTGAGATGAAATAATGCCACTGTATATGGCATTTTATACTTTATACAATGCTTTCACATGCATTATCTTATTTGATTCTGACAGCAGACCTTTTGGGGAGGTTGAGTGATTTGCCCACCTTTACATATCTCCCCAGTTATGAAGCAGATTTGCATCTTCTGACTTTCAGTCAAATGTTGTACTATGCCTTACTAATTCATAGTTGTTATTCACTAATTTGTACACAACTCACTTTTACATATCACCTTAAAGCTTACAAAGCACTTTCCCTGGGGAATAGACCTAAGTATTATCTCTATTATCAGAACTATTTTTTTTCCCAATTTATTTTTTTCATTTTGAATGATCCAGCTGAGAAAATAGACCCACATGAGCAATGATGACATAAATCCTCTAATCTCCAACTTTCTTAATAACAGCAACAAGAATAATAAGCTTATATCCTGGGTAGTACTCCAGAGTTGAGAATAATTTCCTCATCACAGTTCTATGAGTCAAGTACGAATGTCATTATCCCCTTGTTGTAAAGAGGGAAGCAAGGCCTAGAAAGCAATTAATGAGCCAGTCCACAAACTCCTTTGTCCAAAAAGTACAGTTGTTCTTTCTCATACACCATATTGTCATACAAGGTAACAGCTAAAAGTGAAATTACTGTAAACACAAACTGTCTATTTGCCATAGCTGCTAAACTGAAAGAGATGTTACAAATAGTCTGACATAACTTTATAACCTCCATCATTTTACAGTCACTTGCCCAAAGTTATACAAATAAACACCTGAGATTAATGTAGATGTTTACTGGTTTTGGTTTATGTTTGGTTTTGATTTTAAACAAACCAAAAACTGAGAACATTTTGGAGAAGCAATCCACATTTTGCCCGAGTTTTTAAAACAAAAAATTCAAACTGATGTGTTAGGTTTGAGCTTTTTTTTTGTTTTTAATGAACTAAGTGGGGGAAAAAATGCTGATTGAAAAACCTTCAAAATTTGAAAGCACTGAAACTATGTTAATAAGCACCTTGGGTTTTTTACTGTTTCATCTATTAATTTTGTTTTTCTATATGACCTAAATTCTATGACCATAGACTAAAATTAGAATAATAATTTTAGTAGTAACTAAAATAGGAAGCTGTTACTAGTTAGAACACTTAGGAAAAGTATCAGTAGGCCAAAAAAGTTAGTTTCAAGGAACCAAAAAAAAATTTAATGTTTTTGTAAGTTTTCATTTCCCTTTGCTCACTCTGTACCTTCTTGATATTAATTATTAAAGTTGTTTTTTCATCCTTTCTTTTTTAATTACCTAGTCCCATACTATTCCTTGTAAAGAATAACATTTTGGGGATCATCATTGGGAACAGACCTTCAGTGCCATTATATTGAGGCCCAGAGAAGTTAAGTGGCTTGCCCCTCAAGCCACACAAGTAGCAAAAAAGTATAAGATAGATTTGAACTCATGTCCCTTGATTTGATATCCGTGGTCTTTATGCTATTTGCCTCCTGTGACTACCTCATGAAAATTAATTGATTGGCTTTTGACATTTATACAATATTTCCCTTTGAAATGTAGCTTGTTGCAGGGGATAGAAAACCAGCCTCAGAGTCAGGGTTACCTGGGTATAGGTTCCATCTCTGACACATATTGGCAACGTGACTTTGGGCAAGTCAATTCATCACTCATTTTCCCCCAGACAGTTCTGACTTTAAGTTGTAGAACAGTTATGGATCTGCATTGGTAGACATTTCTTCAGGAAACACACTAATGAAATCACGAGTCTGAACAACAGCAACAACAAAATTCCCTTACATTCCAGAGCCTGGGAGGCAGTGTGTATAGAGGGCTAGACTGTCCTTGGCATCAGGAAGACCTATATTCAAGCTTTGCTTCTGACACATACTAGCTCAAGTGACCATGGGCAAGTCATATAAACAGTAAAGGGAATTTCTACACCACCAAGGGAATTTCCCTACACCAACTCATAGAACTCTCCCTTCTCGAATGAATGAATGAATGAATGAATGAATGAATGAAATCCTAGAACCTAGTTGGAAAGTGAGCAAAATCCCATCAATGTATTTTACTGTGCCATTTGTTCATCAAATGTTCTTGTTTGTAACAACTAGGTGACACAGTGGATAGAGTGCTGGACCTACAGTCAACCTGTGTTCAAAACTCAGATACTATTTGATCCTTGGCAAGTCACTTAATCTCTGTCTGCCTCAGCTTCTTCCTTTGCAAAATAGGGATAATAATATTACTTACCTCCCAGGATTTTTGTGAGGATATTTGTAAAGCGCTTTGTTAGCCTTCATACATTATATAAATGCTAGCTGTTAGTTTTGTTATTGTTATTTACCTTGTCTA